CAATTGGCATTGCAATCTCCATTTAAAATGTTCAGTTCAGTTTTAGAATCGTGCCAAAGCAATACATTTAGAGTACATAGTAACATGTCACTGTAATGGGCCAAACTCTACATAATCTAGACTCTATATGGAATGCTTTTTCAACATTGTTTGATGAGTGAATCAACCTGAAACTTTTGTCCATCATACACGTATCTTGACTTTGCTAAATTTCACCCAATTTTTATTACATAGTTTCAAAATAAAACTTTGGACAATTCATTTTAAATGGGCATTATTGAATAAAAACATATGAAGCATACGAAAGATGGAAGCTATATAGCAACGGCAACTATGATTCTTAAGGCTTAGAAAGTAATGATAAGGTTTTATCATTAATGGAAATGAATAATGGAAATGAATGAGCCTCGGTGGCACAATGGTTAGAGTGCAGTACTGCAGGCTACTTCTGCTGACTTCCGTCTGACTACAATTTGGCAATTCAAATCTCACCAGGCTCAAGGTTGACTCATCCTTCCAAGGTGGGTAAAATGAGGACCCAAATTTTGGGGGGCAATATACTGACTATGTAAACTGCTTAGAGAGAACTGTAAAGCTATGTGAAGCGGTATATAAGTCTAAGTGCTATTGCTAATAGATCATTGCTTTCGAATGGGAAAAAAAATACTTTTTAAAAAGTGGGTCATTTCTGAATTATTAAATATGCATAAAAATAATAGAAATATTTCTTGACTTCAACATTATGCATTAAATTGTTCTTTATGCAGGTTTAAAATGTTTGGAAATATATTACAAAAATTTCAAAAAAAACAAAAACAAAAAAAAAATATTGTAGGCCATAGCATTGTGAGCCTTAAACTGGTCTGTCAAAGAGAAAAACTCCTTTCCTTTTATATCCTTTTGAATTTTATACTGGAATAGGTAATAGAAGGCACCCACATATACATGCTTCGTTTTCACTCAAGGTTTATCCAGAAGTGCATAATATTATATGTGGAATTATAACATATGTGAAAATGCCTAATGTGGGTTGTACATGTAGCAGAGTCTTATTTTGGCTGTAAAAATGGCCCAATGATGAAAATGTTTTTCCTTCCAAATATCTGAATAAATTTGCTTCTATGGCTAAATATATATTCTCTGTGTGTGTGTATGTGTGCGTGTGTGCATGAAAGAGGCTAATCAGAATTTTCTTGTATCATAGACAGCTTTGCTTTACAAATCAATTACTTCTGAATGCAATAATGCAATGTTACACTTAAGGAAATTTCACTAATTAAACAACTCACCTTTCAATTTTAGTTTCGCTTCTCCAACACAATGATAATGCCACTGGACTGTGAATCTGCAACTTGTTGTGCTAATACCATATTGTAATTCTGATTAGAGCACAATACCAACTGGAGAAGTACAAAATTTATGTGATAGCAATATGTTTCAATATACTAAACTAATTTTTCTATTTTTGAAGTTCAACTATTCTTAGAGATTGCTCAGAAAATATGACTTGCTAAAGATTAGAAAGTAAATCCCTAGAGGATCTATACATAAAATCCAACAGCCTATTTCATATCTTAGCTCTAATCGCTGGGACTCTCATACAATTCAGCTGTAAACTTTTTCTCAGAAGTTAAGATCAATAGGATTATTTCCTATTCTTAAAAGTTTAAGAAAGGGGGACATTATTCATTACCAAGGTGAACATTGTTCCACACCAACAGAGTTATTGCTGGTTTAATGTTAGCATGAAGAAAAATATGCATTTGGTAGAACTTCTTACCAAGTTTGCTAAAGAATCATCAGGATTTGAGAAATCCAAGTTTTTTCCTTAGTTAGTTCAATGTTAGTATGGGGGCTGGTTTGTTACTCTAATACAATTAATAGATAAAGTTCAAGAAAAACTTTTATTCAAAGGAAATTGGCGTACTTTGCTATTTAAAAAGTGAACAGTGAGTCAGGAAATATCTAGTTCACCTTCTTTGCCAAAAGTAACAGTAACAGAGTTGGAAGGGACCTTGGAGGTTATCTAGTCCAACCCCCTGCTCACACAGGACATCTGTATTAGGGATTCAAACCACCGAACTGCCAACCTTTCTGATTGACAAGCTCAGAGAATGCTCTGATAGATAAATACTGCTGGTCTGATTAAACATTAGAATATGCTTGATTTAATTAATAAATAACAAATACTGTATACAAAGCATCCTTGATGGGGTCATATATGATTTCTGAGAAGTAACAAATGTTTTTTTTTTTTAAAGGGGGATATAAAATTAAAAATAGAAGACGATAGGCCTTCACTCATGGCATGACTATCTGAAGGTTTGCTTCACTCACTACACAGAAGCATGTCTGCCATTTAGATATACAATAATTACTTAGACGTAGCCAATGGCTTCTCCCCCACAAACCATTTCATAGGTAGTCCACAATTCTACACTGATCAGTCGTAATGTAAGTAAATATTTTATAGGTAGCCATTGAGAATTGAACATGCACAATGATTCTCAATTTTCTTTATTTCTCTTGTTCACTCCAGCAGCGGTACCACAATGCAAAGAAAGCAAAGAGGACACTCGAGGCAGCCTTATACTGAGCTCCATGAAGGAAACGTCAGGACAACAAACAGGATAAATGCATGGGCATATCTGCTAGGACGTTTTTAGCCAAAGATAGATGGGAAACAATGGAAATTTTGCATCGAAGCATTACAGCAATGGAGGTTTTACAAACCACCACAAAAACATACAAATTTCTGAGACTGCTTCATGACCCAAGATAGTGAAATGATTACAAAAAGAAAATGGAAAAGAAACTTTCTCCTTTTTTAATGAATTGTTAATAATTCATTTAAAAATGTATGATAAGGAATCTTGGGGAAACTGGAAATCTACACACTTAGTAGCATGTTAGCTTTCAGTTGATCTAATATATTGCCTGAATGTATAGATTCCCCCTCCCCTTTCATTGCCCATTGCTTTTGCCTGAGGTAAATGGAAGTTGCATAACAGTACAAACTGTATTATCCATGAGTACTCAATATTAACTGTATCTAGGATTTTTTTTTTATTGTTCTGATATATCTTTGACCTAACTATGTGGTGCGGTGGTGCAAATCACTCAAGATGGATTTCCATAATTCAAAGGGAAAAAAACCATCTATATTTCTCATCATTCTGTCCTTATGAAAAAAATTGCACCTTTTTGGTATCTCTCCCTCACACCTGAATGGTAATTGTTTATGGAGATTCTCAATCATCCAGGTCATTGTTGTTCCATTGTTCCAAAAGGCAACTGGACTTTCTTAGTTTTTTTTCCTTGAAAACATTTTGCTAAACATTTTCAAAGGAAAAAAGTCCAGCACCTTTGAATGATAATTGCTTATCAATCACTCAGTCATAATTAGCTTAGCCCCAATGCAGAGAATTAATAAAAGGCTTTCCGCAGTGCATTTATTATGTAAAGAAGTGCCTCACGATTATTTTATACAATACAAAATATTAACCTTTTGTTGTTCATTGCGTGCACATTGAATTGAGAACCATAATGAATCCTCATTCCATAATGACAATATAATATACATATTTTCAAATATCAGTTGGGGGTATATCACCAAGTATTTTTAAAGGGTGCTCCGTTTAATATAATTTGTGAAATTGTAAGATTATTAGGATATAAATCTTGGTAATGCGAACACAATCCTAATGCTAGATGTTAGGCATTCTCCCAATTCCAAAGCCAGACACTATGTCAGAAACCAGCTCCTAAGATCAGAATGCTTTAAATAATACAATGAAAATCACCAATAATATCAGCATAAAAACCACCTGCAGCCTAGTTCCATTCTTATAATGAAAGACTGCATGTACTAGACAACAGCTGCCAACTTCTCCAGTTTGAGATTATGTTTTATCATTGGCCTTGAGCTAGGGACAGTAATTAAATCAAGCCATAGATCAAATCTAATTCCCTCTCCTTTTAAATGTAATTTTTAACATGGATTTATTTTAAAGGAACAGCCCAAACTAATTCATAAGATCTACAATACATCATTCTGAATCAAGTTCCATCTATATCTATAGATAATAATATCAATATTTCTATATCAGTATCAATATAATTCTGAAATATGATTATTTTTCAAAGTAAGGATTTTGTTGCATCTGCCTGCTAGACTGGTACTTGCACTAATCCACTTTTATCACTTTAGTGATGCTTTAAAGGTTATTAACTTTGAAACATATTCACACCTAGTCAAGTCCTACCCAGATCTTTTCTGAGTTTGAAATGCAAGGTTTAAAACAAGATTAATCATCTCCTTACATTATAGTAGTATGTTATTGGTCCTTGTCTTTTTTCAGCAATACTTAATATTTTAAATCTGAGCTATATTCTTAGATCATACACATATAGAGCCACAATTCTTAAATTACTTTTATGCAACAAAATGTATAATAAGAGTGCAATTCCATATGTATTTACTTAGAGAATATTAAATTCAAATAGATAAAAATTATACTTTCATACTCAAATATAAAGAAAAGTGATTGTATTAATTTCCTAATAGAGCTGATTCTAATTATACAAAGCCTGCTTTCTCTATAATCATTATTCCTTTCAGTTATTTTAATTGGAAAAGGTATCTATGCTTTCTCTGCGCGTAAATTTAATTTGCTCCGTTGTTCTGAGTATCTCACGAAGTAGGAAAAAAAAAATTTTGAAGTCTTTTTTTTAATAAAAGGAATAAAGGACACAAGGAACTCCAAACTGAAGTATCTGCCAAAAGTTTGAGCAGTTTATAACGAAAGAGTAGAGGCCAAAATGAAAGTTTCTCATCGTTTTATCCACCTGTAATCTTCGTTGTGTACGTCCCTGTCTTTTACTTATAAGAAAGCTTTACTCTTCCGTAAATTCAGCATCTTTGAAGGCGGACTTGTTTTCTAGCACGAAAGAAAAGGCAAGGGAAAGAAACCGAGAGGAAAAGAAATTGAGTTACATACTGGTTTAAACTTGCTGGTGAAAGCAGCGGTCCTCCAGCAGGTTTTTCCACATTGGTTTGTCAGGAAAACGTGTTGCGGTCTCCAAAGCAAAATCCAGAATCCGAAGAAGTGAGGCAGTCTTCGGAGAACCCAGAGCAAGGGAAGCTAGACAGGTATATGCAAGTTAAGAGCTACTCTAGGAGTGACTGGTTCAAGCTTTCACAGCTGGGAAGGATGGAGTAAATTGAAGTCACGCCCCTCAGCCCCACCCCGTACCTGATGGCTTTAACCCTTTCACGTATGGACAAGTGCTTTGGCAGCGGGCCCCACCTAGAGAAACAAAACGCGCGCACTCCTCTCTCGGAAGGCTAGCCTAACTACACAACGTGTTAGTGTACAGACTCTCGGCTGGGAAGCCAGAAAAACCCCTTAAAAGACCCGCATCTTTAACTCAACTCGGCTCACCTGGCCCCTGATCCCGGGAAATAACTCTTGGCTGTAAATACTGTATCCTACCCCACCCCGTTTTGCTTTTGGGAGCCCGATCGTTGCGCGCGTACAATTTTCATACTCACCTAACGCGCGCTTGGTTTTTCCGTTGCAGTTACGCGTTCGTATTCACTAGGTTGTAGTCCAGTTGTCGTTTGCCTAAACCCTACATAATTGAGAACTAAGTTAGATTCGTGTTTTAACTCTCCTGTCCCCAAACGGACATATTTGCCAAAAAAGTAAAGCTTAACTTTTGTCCCAGGAGAATATAATCTTACCCGAACAGCAACTGGTAAAATGTTCCCATTGAAGTGTTTGCACAACCCTCACAAAAAGGAAAATTAAATGTATGCTCCCATCACACACATACCTTAACGTAACACCATCTATAATGTGTGCTTTAAGATTTTAACTAAAGAGTCAAGTGTAAAGAATAAGTCAGTTAACTATATGATTGCACTGTATATTATACTAACACAGTACTAAACTAGAGCTGAAATCCAAGATCTCTCAACCAAGATATTATCTGCTGATTTGTAGTTTAGCATGAACCTAACCAATTATAGTTTATTCAATAAACCATAGTTAAGCAAAACCTGCCTCAGAAGATTTGTGTGAATGTAGAAAGAGTATCACTAGCCAGATCCATATATCATATGACAAGTCAGTGCAAAAGTATAAATGAAGATAAATGCACAACAAGAAAATTACTTAAACATATATAGGGTGGTTAAATTAAGTGAATTCACTCCCAACTGCAAAAATGCATCTTTCCTACCTGTGAGTGTGATATTTTGATTCCTTTCCTTGACAAAGTAGACATCTGTTTATTTTTTCATTTTAGTCTGGGCATGTACATAAAAATACACGAACACATAACTCAAAAGCTCCCATAAGTTTTTTAAACTGAATATGAGAGCTTGTCAGAAAAGAAAGAACTACATCAGACTTAGAAAAAAAATAAGGTATTGTACAATATGGATTGTGAAATGTATATATATTTATTTGTAGTGTTGGGACAAGAAATAAAACAAGTGCATCAGCTAACACAACTACATTAATATATAGATTAGATTTGGTTATAATTTGCTAATCATTATGAGATAAATGCCAGTTTTATGTAGTGGTTATTGTAGACACTGGGCTAGAAACTAAAAAACTAGTTCTGTCTTAGGCACAAAGCCAGTTGAGTGACATTGGGTCAGTCAGGCGCTCCCTCTCCCTCAGTCAGCCCTAAGAAGAAAAGAGTGGTGAACTACCTTGAAAACTCTTGCCAAGAAAATTGCAGCAACTTGTCCTCACAGCTGCCAAGAGTCAAGAATGTTCAATTTTTTTAAAAAAATCTTTATGGTAGAGTTATCAGCATTGTTCTATATCCTCTTCCTAAAATTAAACAATATGCTCTGTTGCTTAAGATACGTGCCAAAGTCAATTTGTATTATTTAACTTTGTATATTGCGCAGAGTTATGTAGATGAAATGGGTAGCTATATAAATTTACCAAATAATTAGATAAATTGATAGCATAATTCTAATTCTTCTCAAATTCTGATTTTGAAGTCAACAAAACAGGAATTGGGTAGCGCCTTTTCTGACTATCAAATGTTATTAAAAGGCATAAGATTTCATGAGCCGCCATTCTTTTCATCAGATGCATAGAGTAGCTAGACTGATAATGGGATTTAAATGGGATGAGAGGGATTAAAAAGTGTCATATGACTTTTAAGAATAATATGTAAAAATTTGTTATTGAATAATAAACTGAGGCTAATATTAAAGTAAGAAAAAGGAAAAATTGGTTAATTTGAATAATTTCCTTAGAGACAAAATGTAGCTACTTTTGGTTAAAAACCATTGAGAGCAATCAACATTCCAAAGGGAAAAAAAACATCAGGCAAAATAAGCAGATTTTGAAAACTGACCAACTGACTGGCTGTGGAAGATCATGGAAAAGTAATGTAAAAAGTCTATTCTAATTCTATTCTATTCTATCCTTCAACTCTGGTTTAATTAAACTCAATTCATACACTATCCATTTATCTTTATAGAACATGAAACAGAGGCATCCATGAGTACTAAAACCCATTACATCGTTCCAGAAACTTGGAAGTACAAGCTTTTGGCATTTGCGGAGGCTGAGTTTATTCATTCAAATGTGAAATAGTTTTATTTTCCAGCTATAAAATATAGATTATGTCTCTCTGAATCAAATGATTTTTTTTTTGCAAAGATCTCCATTTTCTTCATTAGTGTCATTAAGAGTGGTAGATGCATAAGCATTTTATGTTCACAACTGATACACGAAGGTTTAAAGCAGAATGTGAATTTTACTTTCCTGAATACAGGTAGTGCTCAAGGTATGACCAGGTATTAATGGCCATTCAAAGTTAAGACAGACCTCTCTCCCCAATAGTTACATATGACCCCATTTCAAAGTTATGGTGGCTGAAGTGCCCACAGTCATTCGCCTTTATGACCAACCATAAAGACCCCTCGCTTCTGTCCCCCTTATTCTGCCCCACCAAAACTCTGCAGTCCTTGAAGGGAGGCTGGGGAGGTGGTCCTGGGCCTGTATTACACCTCTCCCATCCCTGAGGCAGCCTATACTTTGTTTAATGACCTGCACATTTGTTTAATAACTGCATTAGAAAGAGTAGGGATGGGGGTTGTGAAGGGAAGCCATATTGCTTAATGGCTCTCACGACATGTGCTCTAATGAGCAGGCTACATTAGAGTCGTATCTCAAGGACTGCCTGTACATCCCAGTGATGTTATAAAATGATGTGAGCTTTAGTTATGGGGTAGATCTTTGGACATTCTGTACATATATATACACAATATTGTATATACACAATATACAATATGTATAATCTGTACATATATAAACACCTGCTATCTATACCTGAAATAAATAATGTAAATTAATAATGTCTCTTATGCCTGTTTATTGTTCTGCTTCAGCTAATTATGAGAAGCATGGAACTATACAAATCCTTTTGTGCTAGAAGCCAAATATCTTGGAATACTAATTCCAACTAATACTCTTGGTAGTAAATTTCTTATTTATGAAATATGATTTTTGAATACACAGATATTTGGCCTTGCAGGTCATTTGGAAACTGCTCTTAGTCCTATTGACAATAGCACCACCTACTGACACCCCAGTATCACTTGCCAAAAGGACTGTGGGAGATTCCAGTTCTAGTTGGCTTTGCATATGAAAAGCTGTGGATTTTTTCATGTATGATCCTATCTACCAAATATTAGGAATCCCATCCTCCCTTGCAGATTGCATCAGTCTCATCATGGCAACTCCAGTATTTCCCTTTGGACATATGACATTGACTTTTTAATGGTTTCTCCAATAAATATACAAAACATTTTGGTTTCTGAAACCAGTTGTTTTTTCCTGCTAGAAATGTCAGAAATGTATGAAAAAACAAAGTGCTTATTACATTTTTTGGAGAAATTAAGAACATGAATCTTGCAATGTGTGGCCAGAAATATATCTTGGGAAGGAAGAAGCTGTGGCCAAATCTTCTCTCTTAAATTACTGGTTGACAAAAGTATTGGTCTTGCCATTGATTAGATATCGACCAATCAATTATCTGAAAACACTGGTACAGTGCTACTTATGAGGACAAAAGGTTTCATTAAAAAGGTACTATGAATACAAGTTGAACGCTCATAGAGGGGTTTCCACATATCTTGTATCTCTTTTCACCTATTCATCAAGATACAAGTGTCACGTTAAAATTCTAATTAGAGAAAGGCCAGGCACAGTTTTCATTTCTATAAACACAATGAAAAAGTACATCATAGAAAAATAGCCACAAGTAATACCATATCTGGCAAAAAGTATGCCAATGCAACAAATCTAAAACTGTTCTCAAAGTAAACAGGCTTTCACATTGTGGACTAACCTGGACTGTCATATCAGAGAATATATGCATACATGTTATTGATTTTACATTTCTGATGGGCCACGTTACATTGATTAATCACAACCTGAGGATACTGCTTTATATACAATGTGATTGATCCCTAATAAACTTCACTTCTTCCAACATCGAAATGCAAAGAACAATGCTATGATAGATAGAGAAAGGAAAGAGCTGAACAGAAGGATGAAATAGGAATTTGGGAAGAATAGACTGTCCATAGTTGGTTGCTCCAAAGTTGCAACACCCACACTATGAACAGTCTATTCTCTATTAATACAAAAGGCCAGTTGCACTGTTATTTTACATACTCAACACAAGACAACAATAAATTGACTTGTGTTCTAGATACAGCCAATCTCATTTTGCCATGATTGTTAAGTGGATATGGCTTCCCCAAATAACTTTGCTTGTCAAAAGCCACCTGAAATGGTGATTACATGACCTCTGAATGCCACATATCAGTTACCAAGTGCTCAAATCACATTGTGACCATGGGAATGGGGCATCAGTCGTAAGTGTGAGGCTCCACTTTTCAGTGCCATTGTAATAGTGAATAATGGCAAAATATCTATATTTTGATAATAAGCGATGTTTGCTCATCAACAGACTTGAATAGTTAGCAATTTGTCCAAGTACAGTCACAATAGAATATTTTGCAGTGATTATGTATTATTTAATATATATGTTAAGCCTCAGAGTTGCTAAACAGCCACAACTTCTATCTAAAGCACCTTTATTTAGAATTATTGAGAAAAGAAAGGAAGAACTCACTATACATCTATCAATAAATGTAGTTTTTCATCCTAAGGACCAGTGTAAAACATGAATGGTTTTTTTTAGGCAGAAGCAATTTTTTTTTCAAGGCCATGGTTCCCTGGGGACAGGTAGGGGCTTGCCCCCAGCTTAGGATCATCTTCAGGAAGAGAGCCGGCATCATCTCTTTACTCAGGCCTCACTAGCACAGAGACCACACAGGTGGAGTAAATAAAGTTAATGCTGTAGAATTACCGTCGGGGCATTTCCTTGCTGAGGAGCGTTTGAAGCACTGTGCCATGCCTTGAAATTACAGCTAATTATAGAGGCCATTTGCATAAATTACAAGGAGCGAGGCAGTTGTCGCCAATCCTTTCCATGCACTTAGGAAGAAAGTTCCGCTTGCTGGATGGCAATAAACTGAAGAGGGGGGGGCTGGGCTGGAAAAGAGACCCACCTCTGAAGATGATGGAGATGGATTTGGAAGGCAGAGGATGGTGGGGGAATCCGTTTACAGAAATGCAAGCTCCTAAAGATACACTGGAGCCAAAATTGCTTTTGGATGGAGGCCTAAATGTGCAAAATGAATTGGGGAAACTTCACTTCGCAAATTGGAAATTTAGAAGTTGGTTTGTCATCATTCAAAATATGATTCTTTAGTGAAAATTATTTTTGGTGTGCAAGAGTAGTCACATTTCTACTGCAGTGAGTGGGTTTTTCCTATAAATTTATGAATGATAGCAATCTACCTTACAAAATTTGTTGTTAGCAGTGCTAACATAACATATGTGGAGTGATGGACCACTGCTATAATTAGTCTTTTATAGTTTCACAATCCTCTACTATACTCTTCTTGTGGAAAACATATTATATTAGGTAAGATAAAGATGTCTCCATGGGTTTTTAGTGGATGGTGCTTATCTTCATTTCTTAAACCAAAGAGCCAGTGTTGTCCGGAAAGATTTCTGTAGTCATGTAACCAGCATGACATCACACCAAAACACAGAGCATACAGGGAACATGGAACATCAGGACAAAGTCTTGGTAGTACAGTGGTCTAAGGCACCCTGTTATTAAGCTGGTTATTAAGACCAGATGCCTGCAATTACTGCAGGTTCGAATCTCGCCAAGGCTCCAGGTGACTCAGCCTTCCATCCTTTCTAAGGTAGGTAAATTGAGGACCCAGTTGTGGGGGCAATAAGCTGACTTTGTATAAATATACAAAAGGATGAAGGCTATTGCTGAGCACATTGTAAGCCGCCCTGAGTCTCCGGAGAAGGGCGGCATATAAATCAAATTAAAAAAAAAAAAGTAAAAAAATATGGATATTTAAACAAATTGTAGCTCAAATTCCAGATTTTCACTATTCCCAAGAGATTTGTCCCCTGCTCATAAACCAATATGCCACAAATCTTCATAGTGATTCAGTCTGATAACATATCTCCATTGTTCTTCATCATCAGCTGTATTTGGATACGAGATGTGCTTTTCTATGTTAATTAGAACATTGGGAATTCTCCAGGTTCAATCTCTCAGCATAGATTCTAAATACAGGAACAATTATGGGATGTATTATGAGACAGATACTTTTTATTGTATTGTACATTATGTGCTTTGCTTTCTTCGAATCACACAAGCTGTTTTGTTTCATCAATGACCTTTTTGGTGCTAATTCTGGAAGTAAAAGTCCTCACATCTGGAAGATCTTAGAACATAGAACAAAAGAGTTGGAAGGGAGCTTGGAGATCCCCTCAGGGGCGGGTTTCAAAACCCATCGCTACCAGTTTGCTTGTGGGCGCTCATGTGTTCATCCGCATGATGCTTTTGCACATGCACAGAAGCATTCAGGTGGGTGGGCGGAGCCTTCCACCGCTGCTGCTACCAGGATGCCCAATCCAGGGCGAACTGGTAGCAACTCACCACTGAATCCCCTACTCAAGCAGGAGACCCTACTATTTCAGACAAATGGTTATCCAGTCTCTTTTTGAATGCTTGCAGTGATGGAGCACCACAACTTCTGAAGGCAAGCTATTCCATTGGTTGATTGTTCTAACTATTAGGAATTTTCTCCTTAGTTTTAATTTGCTTCTCCCCTTGGTTAGTTTCCATCTTTTGTTTCTTGTCTTTTTTTTTTTAAAATATACTTTATTGGTTTTTAAAATTGTAGAAAACATCAAATCTCTGTTAACATCTGAGGTGTCATGTATTTACATATTTACAAAATATATATATCAAATAAATTCGAAACTACCATTACTAAAAATAAACATATCCTAACATAACAGTCTCGTTCTATTATTCCACCATTTGTACCACGTTTCCCATACTGCATAGATTTTTGAGTTCACATCATTATGAAGATCACTTGTTAATTTTGCCATTTCTGCACATTCTAAGATTTTGTTTATTAGTATTTCCTCTGGAGGAGTTGATTTGTCCTTCCAGTACTTTCAAAAACTAGCCTGGCTGCTGTTGTGAAAATCCATCTCTGATCATTCCCTA